CGTTCACCGTTCGTTCACCGTTCACTTTGCGTTCGCGTTTGCGCTCCGTTCGCGTTCTGCGTTCGCTCACCGTTCAGCGTTCACACATCGTTCACCAAGTTGCGTTCAGCGTTCACACATCGTTCACTCACCGTTCGCTCTGCGTTCGTTCAGCGTTCGTTCACCGTTCGTTCAGCGTTCGCTCACCGTTCAAGTGGGAAAGTAGAACGTTTCAGGGACTGTAAGAAGAAAAGGTTATCCTTTTTCCCACTGTTTAGTAGACTGGTTTATCCAAATTTGAAAACAAACGAATAAAAAGGGAAAGTTGTCAGTAAATAATTTGGAAATAAAGCACAGTATACTTCAAGAACCTTGATTCTAAAGAATATTAGCATCAAATATAGCCAGGTTTATTATTTACAGTAAGTTTATCTTAATTACACGCATGAAGAGCTCTTGTTTACTTGCTGAATGAAAACAGTAACCTGTATATGTGTTATGCTTCTAGCTCATTTAGAACACAAGACTCAAACAAAATAACGTTTTCATGAGATCAATAAGATGTTAAAGAACAACTTTATTTCCGGCAGCTATTTCGAAATATTTACCGTTTTTGAGTTATAAAGCAAAAACTTTAAAGGGCCCCAGATCCCTAATTCTAGGGGCCAGACCCTTTTTAGTGGTGTCAAATGAAAAGCCTTAAAATTGTGCACAACTTTTATTCTACATGTCTTATCAAAATATTTTTAGTTTAGAAGATAAAAAGGAAAATATGTGTAAATTTTCGCTATTTTAGGCGTTCTAATTTTTGACCCCTCTCTAGCGCCATTTTGAATACAGAAATTGAAGAACAAAAACCGATGTGCACAACTTCAGTGCTTCTATTATTTAAATTCGGTAAAATTTCTACTCCAGCTTTTGTAGTCTCTGAGCCTTTGTCTGGAAATGAAGCCTCTCAAATTTTCATTTAAAGGGAAATAACCCAAAAGCGGAAGTGGATTTTTGAAATGTTTGATAGCATTCTGATAGAGTTTTGTAACGTCTATAAACCCTGCAAATTTGAGCAAAATCCGTTGAGAAACGAGCGAGATATGAGATCTCAAAGTTGGCGTCTAGGAAAAAAAAAAGAATAATAAGAATAATTTTAACCATCAGAATCAGTAGAAGGTCTTCCGCCTGGAGCGGAAGACCTTAATTATAGAGTCCGCAAATATACAATATTAAAATTTTAGTTGATCGTTGGTGTATTATAAACTTTCGTGTCTTGATTTTAAAATTTTGAAGTGTTGGAGACATTTTTACATTTAAAGGTAATTTGTTCCACAATACTGCCCCCGAATAATTAAAAGAATTTAGAGATATTTATTTTTGAATTTAAAACGTTTATTCAAATTTTACAAAAATTCAAGGAAATCAAGGGAATAAATAGCCAGAGATAATAAAATGTGTCATAATGAATAAAAATGGTTAAGAGGATTAAGTGCCATCTTAAGAAAAAGTTTGCTTGCTCTCTTTCGACTCAGGATAAGAAAATTCTGTAGTTTGGTAAGGGAAACCCTTTTAAACATCGCAAATTAAAAGTTGCGATAGTTATCATTGGGGTGGTAAGAAATCTTCGACTCAGATATTATAATAAAAAAATCCCTGTAGATTAAGAACATTTGAGTTGGACCGTTTTAGTTAGTCTGTCGGGAGAGGACAACGAAGAATTCTTTTAAAGATGGCCAATTAAAGTATTTATTTTTCTTGAAAGGTATCTTTAATTTTTGGTAAGGTTTTTTGAGTAAATTTGTTTAAAAGAAGTCAAAAACTGATTTATTTCATTGCCATTATTTTTAGCAAGCAACGCAGAAAAAAATCGCTTAATGAACATGAGTTGAATTACCAGTTTCAAATATTGAATAAAACAAATGTTAAGATTTAAGAATTTTCTTGAGAACTTAATGCATTCCACCATACGATATTGTGTGCAATAAATCTTATTTTTTTTAATCAATTTTCCAGTGAGCTTTAAATCAAATATTGTGTAATGAGTTTTGAACCAGATACTGTGTAGTATTCATTTTTTTTTTGTTTGAACATATTTTATTGTAGTTTCTAATTACAAAGGGATTGGGGCACAAGTTCTAAAACTTATTATGCCCTCTTCCTACATGTAAATTACAAAAATTAAATTAAATTAAATTAGGTCACAGTTAAATATGTACATTCAAAATATTCAATATTAGTGAAATTTACAAATCAATGCATTTTAAAGAATCATACATATAATTCAGTATATACATGTATATATAAATAAATATATTTATAATAATACTAATACTAACATGTGAATCTGCCGGAATGTTTGATAAAAGTTTGAACAATAGAGAAAAGACGTTCATTCTCCACAGCACTCAATGAATCTATCCCCCATAATAAAACATGTGTATTTAAAATGTGAATTTTATCAAATAATAAAAAATTATCAAGAAATTCCTTTCTGGTTTCTTTATACTTTGGACATATAAAAATTAATGATACGAATCTTCTTTTTTTCCACATGAGCATAAAGGACTTGAGATAAAATACATCTGTAGAGGTCAATATTTAATGCACAATTATGTCAAAGTCTGGTCTGGAGAACATTCAGTCGCCTGTTACCATATTCAAAATATGATGGTGGGGCAGACTTTTTAATACTTATTTTAGATTTAAAATTTGACAACAATTGTAAGTTTCTATTTTCAAGTGGTAATGAGTTCCATTCATTAACTACAGTAGGAATAAACGATGACTTATAAGTCTGTAATCTACATTTTGGAATATCAAAATTTTCAGAATTTCTAGTAGAATAGCTATAATGTATTGCATCGCATATTTGGAAGTATGTCCATTAGATAATCTGGTACTCAATTATTATGCATTTTAAAAAATGTCTTTAATCTTGCTGTCTGTCTTCTACAATTAAGTGGTTCCCATCCCGTTTCGAAGTAAAGTGGATCTTTAGAGGCTATGGTTGTTAAACCTGTGACAATTCGTGCAGTATAAAGTTGCAATTTTTTTTAGTTTATCTTTATCATTGTCTTGACAGCAGCCCCACACCACAGAAGCATATTCAAGTTGTGGTCTTATAAATGACGTATACATAAGGGAGAGAGATTTTCGATTCATTTTAAATTGTAATTTTTTTAATAAAGCCAATTTTCTGTAGGCACTAGCCAGTAAATTTTCAATATGTGATGTCCAACTAACATCATGTGAAAATAATACTCCAAGGTGTTTGTGCTTAGTGACATTTGTTGAAAGAGAAGCTTAGGATATTCGATGTTTTTTTTTTTGTACTGAAAATTATTGCTTTAGTTTTAGAGGGGTTGAATTTCATAAACCATTTTTTTACCAAAGTTCCAGTGCATTAAGATCGTGATTAAGATTTCTTTCAATAATTTTCATATTTTGAGATGAATGTTGGAAAGAATTGTCATTTGGAAATAGTCTACATAAAGTGATCATATTGTCAGCAACATCATTCACATAGATGAAAAACAAAAGTGGCCCTAATATTGAGCCCTGGGGAACACCAGCATACAAAGGTTTAGGTGATGATAACAAACTACGATACAAAATTCTTTGATGCCTACATTCTAAATAGCTTTCTATCCATTTACACAAATTTCCATTTATCCCATATGTTTTAAGTTTAAATAAGATACCTTTATGCCAGACAAGATCAAATGCTTTTGATAGGTCGCAAAATATCATACAACAAAATTTTCCATCATCAATAGATTTAACAATATTATCATATGTTTCAATTAACTGATATACAGTTGAGTGACCAGGTAAGAAACCAGCCTGATATTTATAAAAAAGATTATTATCATGAAAATAATTGTAAATATACTAAAAAATAACTCGTTTTATGATTTTGCTTACATAGCTCAGCAACGAAACTGGTCTATAGTTTGACATCACAGAAGGATCTTCTTTTTTAAAAAGAGGAAGTGCATTAGCTAGTTTCCATTCTGAGGGAAAAATACATTCATTTAAAAATCGATTTAACGGCAAACAAAGCAGTTTGGCAATAGAAAACTTTGGAGATTTTAACATCTTGCGACTAATGTTGTCAGGACCAATGGCCTTGTTTGTGGGAAGTATTGATATAATATCAATTATTTCTTGTTCACTAATACATACATTACTAATTTCATTATTACAAACATAATATGCATAGGTAATTCTGACCCACTGTCATCAACACATGATACAGAAGTAAAATATTCATTAAGTACATCTATTTTCTCTTCATTGGAATAGGCAATATTTGTATCACCAGTATCTGTTGTATATTGTAATGGTGGAATATCAGAGGAAACTAGTTTTAAAAACATCCTTCAATAATTTCCAGTAAGGTTTCGAGTTGTTTTACTAGCGTCTGTAAGATGTAATTCTAGATTATTATGGTAGTTTTAAATTGCCTGTTTTCTTATATTGTTGAATTTATTTCTTATATGTTTAAAATTTGCCCAATCAGAGTCTTTTTTACTTTTAAGAGCTTTTTGTCTAAGTCTATTTTTAACACGAAGAGTTTTACATGTATGTAATGCAGAATCAAACCAGGGTTTATCTTTTGGCCTTATAATAACAGAATTTTCAGGTACGGTCTAACTATGTTCATAAATGTCAAAGAAAAATTTTCCGTAGCCTGGTTAACATTTTGTGCATTACAAATGAGGTTTTCCCAATCACTATTTTCAAGAAGGAAGTTAAGTTGATCCGTATCAGCATTTTTGTGTACCCACACTTATCGTTCATAAGATTTGTTTTGGTTGACACTTGATTAAAAATATATATATATATCCCTTTGTGATCACTTATATCACTGTCTATGTCTAACACGCCTGAGTGAAGAACTAAAACATCCGAATTGACTAGAATTGGGTCAATGAGTGTGTTCGAAGTGTTCGTGACACGAGTGGCTTCATGGATAGTGTTTGTAAGATTGTATCGTAAGAGGATTTCATTAACAATGTGTGTTCTAGGAATATTAAAGAAGTCGACATTAAGGTCTCCAACTACAACAATTTTAGTGGAAATGTCAGAAGCCTTTTCTATAGACTACATAAGGTTATTCCAAAAGGATTTATCACTGTTTGGTGGGCGATATACACAACACAGTAGAAAGTTACAGGTAGGTTCGCACACTTCTAACCAGATACATTCTATTGTAGTGGGTTCAAGGTCAGTGCGTCTGATAATTCGAAGAGATTCAAAAATATAAACAAGAATTCCTCCTTCATAAGAAGTCCTGTCTCTTCGAAAAATTGTGTTAAATCCCTCAATTGAGATATCGCTATTATTTATACTACCGTCTAAATGTGTTTCTGTGAAGCATAAAATATCGAAGTCAGTGACAAACGTTGTCAAACTTTCAATTTTGTTTCTAATGCTCCTAATGTTAAGGTGAAAAATATCTAAACTATGAACAGGATCACCATTTGGACCGGGATTAGTTTCGATGTCGCCAAATAATAAAAGTAGTAAATGAATAACTTGTAAGTAGAAATGTACATGACCAAAGTTTTTCATACCCTTTTTAGTTATACATTTAAACATTTGCAAACATTTTTTGTACGCATAGAATAAAAGCAAAAGTAAGTTCCGAAGATCAAAAATGCAGAAGAGCATTGATTTAAGGAATGAATTTAATAGCTACCCATACGCTATACGGTATAAACTGGGTTGGGTCAGTTTACGCTTTATAAACGAAATGGATGTAATGCAATACTGTGTGTTATTGTAGATGTGGACCTTTGGTAAGGGCTGTGGACAGAGATGTGAGTGTGATCCTAAAAATAGTAATGGATGTGGGGCGGAGAACGGTGAATGTTTTTGTCAGCCAGGCTGGTACGGTAAGTGATACAGAGTAATAGAACGTACTGGTACAGTACCTGATACAAAGTAATAGAACATACTGGTACGGTAAGTGATACAAAGTAATAAAACGTACTGGTACGGTAAGTGATACAAAGTAATAAAACGTACTGGTACGGTAAGTGATACAAAGTTATAGAACATACTGGTACGGTAAGTGATACAAAGTAATAAAACGTACTGGTATGGTACGTGATACAAAGTAATAAAACGTACTGGTACGGTAAGTGATACAAAGTAATAGAAGGTACTGGTACGGTAAGTGATACAAAGTAATAAAACATACTGGTACATGATACAACGTAATATAACATACTGGTACGGTAAGTGATATAAAGTAATAGAACGTACTGGTACATGATACAACGTAATATAACATACTGGTACGGTACGTGATACAAAGTAATAAAACATACTGGTATGGTAAGTGATACAAAGTAATAAAACGTACTGGTATGGTAAGTGATACAAAGTAATAGAACGTACTGGTACGGTACGTGATACAAAGTAATAAAACGTACTGGTATGGTAAGTGATACAAAGTAATAAAACGTACTGGTACGGTAAGTGATACAAAGTAATAAAACGTACTGGTACGGTAAGTGATACAAAGTAATATAACGTACTGGTACGGTAAGTGATACAAAGTAATAGAACGTACTGGTACGGTAAGTGATACAAAGTAATAAAACATACTGGTACATGATACAACGTAATATAACATACTGGTACGGTAAGTGATATAAAGTAATAGAACGTACTGGTACATGATACAATGTAATATAACATACTGGTACGGTACGTGATACAAAGTAATAAAACGTACTGGTACGGTATGTGATACAAAGTAATAAAACGTACTGGTATGGTAAGTGATACAAAGTAATAAAACGTACTGGTACGGTAAGTGATACAAAGTAATAGAACGTACTGGTACGGTAAGTGATACAAAGTAATATAACGTACTGGTACGGTAAGTGATACAAAGTAATAAAACGTACTGGTACGGTAAGTGATACAAAGTAATATAACGTACTGGTACGGTAAGTGATACAAAGTAATAAAACGTACTGGTACGGTACGTGATACAAAGTAATAAAACGTACTGGTATGGTACAGTATGGTACCTGATAAAAAGTAATGGAGTAAAAGTGATGGATCTTTAGGTGATACAAAGTAATAAAAGGTGTTGAAAAGTAATAAATAATGTTTGATGAATTATCATTAAATTGAAACTTCTTTTGCAATCCATAATAATGAAACATTTTCTTGATTAATCGAATATTTAACCTAAGAGTTACATTGATTTTTTGGGGGTGGGTAGGAATGACGGAAAAAAAAAATCTTAAATAGCTCTCTGTAAAATACATTTTTTGTCGTTCAAAACGTCACTATGTTAGTTTATTTGAATCAGTTTTTTCTTTTATATATTAGGTGTGAATTGTAATAGTAAATGTGAAAACGGAAAATGGGGAGAGAACTGTGATAAAACATGCACGTGCTACAACAAAGGGTCATGTGACCAAGAAGACGGAAGTTGTATATGCCGTCCGGGTTTCAAGGGACCCAAATGTTCGAAAGGTACAGTGTACACAATATTTACCATCTACGAGAAAGAATATTATCTAATTTGAAAAAAACCCATTAAAGTATCGAAATTTTCATATTCAAAATTTTGATTTACATTAATGTTTCTTTTCTTTCCAGCGTGTAACGATGGTTTCTATGGAAACAGTTGTCGTTTTCAGTGTCAATGCGGGCCAAACCAGACATGTGATCACGTGACAGGTCAATGTATTTCTACGACCTGCCCTGCAGGATATACTGGTCAGATATGTCAATACGGTAGGTCTTACTCATTAAACGGAAAAGACATTTTATTTAATGCAAAGAAAGAAATTTTAGAAGCTAGTACCTTGTATCTATTTATTCAATTGTCTTCAAAAGAAGCATTCTAATAACAAGAATAAAGTTGGAGGCGCTCACATTCTCCTCAGAGCGAGTAAGCACGTGTTATCATCAGATGATGTAATGTAAAAATCGAAAAAGTAGAAAATGTTCATACAGTTTCAATAATTCACATTATAATGTAGTGTTTTCCTTGTTGAAACAGTTGCCTAATCCTATGTTAGTTATGTCATATCATTCTTTCTTACGTCATCGTATTGATTGTTAAGGAGTTGAAGGACAAATTGTCCTATGTTAACGTTTGGCAAATTGTGCACATACGTCTACATAAAAAAGACGTAAATCTTGCTTGAAATCAATGACTTAGACTGATTTCTGGAAAATTGTTGTGCTTAAAATGGAATAGTCTTTGATTATAATCTTGATGTAAGTTAGGTAATAAGTTTGTTATGAAATATGAATTCTACTTTGTTATTAAACATTACTAATGCCAGAAGAAAAACACCTTTTCCTTCTTTATTTTCTATAGTACATTTTCTCGGTTTACTTTTATTTACTGTTCTCTCTAACTACTCTCTTTTTATGCTGCAGTGTGTCCTTCCGGTAGATACGGTATCCGGTGTAACGAGACCTGCCCTGATTGTCATAATCATGGCGTCTGTCATTCGACAGATGGTTCCTGTATTTGTCCAATGGGATTCTATGGAGCCACCTGTAGCAAACGTAAGGTTCCCATGTATAAAAAAAGGACAAGGAAATCTGACATATATACAAGATACGGGCAAACAAATCTTATATGATGTAACATCATATGTAAATATAGGGAATAGTGGGACACACTATCCATAAACAACCAAAAATTAGTATTTTATTAATGTAATATGATACATGTATATGTTGACTATCAATATATACACTATGTAGTCAAGCCTGTGATATAAACACTATTCACTTAAAATGTTAAAATATACACTTTTATTTTACAACCTGAGTATATACATGTTCAGTATATAATCATACAATATTAACACAATGTAAATACGATCTTAATATAATCGTGTACACTGTCTATATTTAATCTTAATATGTATCTGTACACTTTCCTTATACAACCTGTAATGTAGACATTTTCTGTAAATAACAAGAAATATACACTAGATCCATGTACAAAATTTCTTAATTGTACGCTATCAGGTTATGTACAACTATACTAGACAAGTTAAATTGATGCAAAGCATCAAATCGGCCAAAATTTTATCATTTTATCATTTTAAAGAATTTTCGCAAAAACGAATCCAAAGTAAAAATTCAAAATAAAAAAAATACAGGTACCATGCATGGTACAATTTTTTATACTCTAATTTTCACTGTGATCAAACAGAGTAAATAAATTTAAGGATATAAAAATAGGATAGTATCATCACAAATTGACACAAATACAAATGCAACACATATCTATAATGACTTATTATGAATGACTGAATGTTACAAAAAAGGACGTACAAACTTCACGTGCTGATATCATTGGATCTATGTCATGTGATAAGCCGATATTCTATTTCAAATGTATATAAAGTGCAGAAAAAAATATCGTTATGACATTTGCAACTTTAAATAACGTATTCAAAACACAATTCACTGCTTAAAAACTTTTCCAATTTATTAATTATTTTAGGCACTGTAATTCATATCCGGAAACTCAATATGTTTTGATTCTATATCTTATGCACGTCCATCTTGGGGAGCAGTTCATGCAACAACGTTTTATAAAATCATAAATTAATGAATATCTATTGAGAAATGAAAAACAAATTGAAACCTGAAAACAACCATTTAGACAAAGTATAAAGCGAATTTTTAAAACTTTTATTCATGACTTTTATGTTTGTTATCAACAAAGAATTATTTCATCGAGGCAATGAAAAAATAACGCCTCAATTCCTCATGTGCACAATATGACACAACTACAAATAGATCGGCCGCTCCTGCGGCCGATATTGAACGCGTCTCATATACAATATTTAATAAATGCTTTCGATTCATCGATTTTAATTGTTATCTATAAATATGTTCACAAGCATATATTTTATAAGTATATTGATTTTAATAGTAAATTATTCTACGTAAATGATGTTATGAAGGTTTGGTTGGTTTACTACTTACGCTATTCACTGTATAGATAGATGATCAGAACCTATCAATATATTAACACACCTTGTCCAAAGAAAATTTGTCGGAAGGAACTTTTCAGCGTTCCGGATACTCTTTCGATAGTTTTAATTTTCAATTTCACTTTCAGCCTGCCCAGATGGTTTCTATGGAACCGCATGTAAATCTAAATGTTCTTGTGAGAATGGCGCAAACTGCAGCAAAGTTGACGGAAATTGTGACTGTACTTCCGGTTTCATTGGTGTCAGCTGTTCTCAAAGTAAATAAACCTTTCAATTTATATGTACGAGTTTTCTGTCCTCATTTTATTATTCTCTCATTTGGCAATGTTTTAGTTATAAATAAATTATAATTCTTATTTTAAATCCCTTCTTTTTCTTGAAATCTTTCTTTAAAATTCAGGTTGCCCTGAATTTCTACAAAGTCCTTACTTATTTTCTTATTCAGGTTGTCCTGAGGGATATTTTGGAAAACACTGCAGTAACTTATGTGTCTGTAAGGGAGTAGAATTTTGTCATCCGGCCTATGGATGTATAAGTAAGTACTCCATCGGTTTTATCAGTATGGATGTATAAGTAAGTACTCCATTGGTTTTATCAGTAAGTTTTCTGCAAATGGCTATATCAGCTATATCAGTATTTATTCCATCTTTGGCTATATCAATAATTATCCCACCTAGAATTGAATAAGTAAATATCCCAAATATGACTGCATTAGTTAATCCATTGTATGAAGATTTCAGTTAAATCATGTCTACCTCTTTCATTATTACCAGTAACTTTCTGCCTACGGTTTATCAGTAATTATTTCTTCTACATTTTTCTCAATAAATAAAACGCATACTGATATATCAGTTGTCCCCAAGACAACTATAAATAACTATTTCTCCTATGATTATGTCAGTGAGTAAACTGTCATTTGTTAATCAGTAATTATCCAATTTAAGGCTGTTTCAGTGAGTATTCCGCCTACGGATCAGAAATTATTCTGCCCCTACCTACATGTATATTAGACAATTTCAGACAATATCAATAATTATATGACTGTGTCAGTGAGAATCCAGGCTACAACTGTGTTCAATAACACATTTTAATCAGCCCTAGCGTCGTTTCAAAAAAAAAAAAAAAAAAAACCCCATTGTGATTTGGAAAATTTCACACTACATGTAGGTCAATACAGTATACGAAATCTATTTTGCGATATAAATATTTAAATTTTAAGTTCATTAAAATACAATAATGGACCATTGTGAAGTACATCCACAGTACTGTATAAGTAGTATACGTACTGTCTGTAAAGAAAACAACAACCATCTACCCTTACAAAAAATTCTATAGTAAACTATAGTCAACTATAGTGATTACTCTGACAATATGAAAACTATTAACTATAGTGATAACTTTGACCTTTGATTACTATAATAATTTTGAGGACTTTGATTTACTATAGTATTCACTATGACTCTATAGTGATAACTATGAAGACTTATCCTTAACCCCCTCCCTTCCCACCTTCACCAACTCCTGCCAAGTTTTCCTTTCGGAATATTTTTCCTTCCATATTTGATTCTTTTATGAAATGAGAGTAAAAGAAAGATTAAGCGCCTGTAAAATAATATAATCACAATCACAATTTAAGCTGTTCCGTACCCCTGTATATAACGCAAGTTTAAATGTCAAAGTAAGCTGTCGACTGTAAAATACGTTTCTTCTCGCAAAAGTCCAATATGAGTATTACAAGCTCACATTAATCACCAAGGTGAATACATATAATTATTGAATTCTTATTTGAGTAAAACGTCATTCTCAACCGTTTCCTATTCTTTCTAGGTCAACCAAATATTGCCAAAATAACGAACAGTGAGGAAAAAGGTTCCGCCAGTGGACTGATTGCCGGAATCACGGTGACCGTGATCATTCTGACACTTATAATTGTTATTATGGTTATCTACTACAAGAGACGCATGGGTCGCCTTAAGTCCCAGAATCGAGCTGTAATGCAGTACATTCAGTCAACAGAGGGCGCTGATGCAGGTAAGAATATAAACATTTAAACTAGACGGACATTAGTAAGATTTCTGGCAATCACTGTTTTATATATTTAGTGAGGAGAAGTTTAGAGCAACAATATAGTCAGGATCAAGTGTTCGTGGAGATATACCATTGTACCATTGTATGGTCTGAGAGAAATAAACAAACAGAAGTATATTATAGTAATTATTGATGATTGGATTTGGTAAAATCTTTCCATATTGTAAAGGGCGATTTCCTTATTTCCTTTATCAGCCGGTAACTTGCCTGTTTCTGGAATCAACAACCCTGTGTATGTATCTGACAATCAAAACGTATCCAACATAGAGCGGGAAATTCAACGTCAGCAGCGTCAGAGCAGTAACCAAGGAAACGCTTCCTTTAGTCCAAAAGAGGCTGCATGTGGTGGAACTAATGACCTCACAATGGCTAAAAACGTAAATTTTTCTTCACATAATGGATGCGGTCCTACTAATGACTTTGACGACGATGATGAAGTAGATAGGTACACCACACTGAAGGACTTTCAAGCCAAGTTAGATGATATAAATAGAACTGGTAGGTATTTTTGACATCCCCATGCTCTATAATAAAAATTTTGCACAATTTTTCTACCTCTAACGAAGTCTAGGTCTTAAATTTCCTCTTCATATGGCCTATTACTTGAAACTTCAGCTTTGACGATTTTAGTCAATATGAAATTGCATCCGCAACTGTAGTCGATCAAACAGTTTGTTCTGGAAACAACTTGACTAATATCTCATCAGATAGTCAAGTCGAACAAACAGACTCTTCCAGGAACGAATTACTATGTCTCATCAGAAAGAAAAATCGGACAGACAGACTCTAATAGACACGACTTAACTAATAACTTAAAAGGGAAGACGAACAAATAATCTCTCCTGAAAACGACTTAACTATTGCCTCATAAGGAGGTGAGGTTAAACAAACAAACCCTTCTCGAAAGGACTTTGCTTTTTTTTTTATCAGAAAGTAAAGTCGTCCCTCAGAAATGTTGTTATCTTGTCACTAAAGATACTACAAATATGGTCCTTGACAATAATGTTTTCCTTTTTATGAAATTAACATTTGTATGACACTTGCAGAAAATTTAGCATGTGCAAAAATGGACACCAAACATGGAAATATGTACAACAACATAAAAGTTAACATGGAGGGTTACGATAATATCTCCGTAGGTTTGTGTCTTTCCAGTATTTGTAAACATTGTAAACATCTTTACAGAATGTTTGTCTTCCTCTAATTAAGATTCTGATTTAAAAGGAATATATATAACTTTATGTTAATAGGGTTAAAAATGTAAATTCAGTGAGACATAACAGAGGATGATTTCAATACCACTAGTATAAGAGTTCAGGTTCGATCAAGTCATCCATTGCAATACTAAGTTGGCAAAGATGAGTGATTTTTTTATGTCTTATAGATTCCACGAGTTCCGATGATTCAATGGAATTTCAAAAAAGACAAAATAGAGATTTCTATCAAGATTGATAATAAAGTGAGGTAGTGTTATATTCTAAGCATGATGGGTAACCGGTGAAAATGGGTAACCGGTATAAAAGCATGATGGGTAACCGGTGAAAATGGGTAGCCAGTATAAAAGCATGATGGGTAACCGGTGAAAATGGGTAACCGGTATAAAAGCATGATGGGTAACCAGTGAAAATGGGTAGCCAGTATAAAAGCATGATGGGTAACCGGTATAAAAGCAAGATGGGTAACCGGTTTAAAGGCGTGATGGGTAACCGGTATAAAAGCATGGTGTGTAACTGGTATAAAAGCATGATGTTAATAGAGGAAAAGGCATGCCAGGTAAACGTGGAAAAAAGACATGATGATCTAACGGTTTATAAAAGCATCTTGAGTAGGTAACCACTGAAATAAACATTAAGGATAACCAGAGAAGAAGCATTATATGTAACAATGAAAAATGCATGTTGGCTAACTGGTTAAAAAAGAGATGATTGGTAAAGGGAAAAAAGCATGAATGGTAAACAAGGGAAAAAAACATTATTTGAAACGGTTGAAATATTGAGCTGGGTGATTAAAATACACTTAATTATGCATTTCTCATTTAACAATTTTTTTGTCGGTCAGGGAACCGTTTTGTTTTGTACGTTGTTTTCCTGTTGTTAATTTTTTTTTTCAGAATTTACAAAAGGTAGAGAAAAAAGACATACATATATTATGAACATACTTAGACAAGAATACTTTTTAACTTGGAATGTGAATTCTGTTCAGTAAAGTATTTAGAGAATACTGTAGTACATGAATATCGAAAGGCAATTTGTTTATATAAATGTATGCTGCTGATTTAATCGTTGTTTTTTAAGCATGATTTTCTATAGAGTTGAACAGTCTATAATTTGAATACATATGTAACATAGACGTTGAACTGCTTTGGTTTCGAATATTGCTGTGAAATATGTAAAGAAATGTGCATAGCATGTTTAGATAAGAAGAGTAACTAAATTATATCAAGTAGAGCAAGTTTTAGGTTTTTAGTGTAGATTTGTTTTCAGTGCATTTCTGTAAAAAGACACTCGGTAATCCTTTGAAGTATTCGGGAAAAAAAATCGCTTTTTACATATCACAATGTTGAATACTTGCTATTGAATGCTCTATTACGGCTTTGTACAAAGTCCCTAATTTGTCTTAGATAAGTAAATTGTTTACGTAGAAATTGGAACTCTTCAGAATGAGAAAAAAAAATATATTTATCAATAACCTAGAGAATTTTGTGATTGAAGATGATAAGCATATTTTTAAACGAACAAGTTTTATATCTTTTGCTCTGCATTGATTCTAATTATAGAAGGTCCATTTGTCAAGTTCATAGTTTCTCTAACTGGAAAGAAAAAGAGTAGTTATACAATTAGTTTTAAAACACGGGTTTGGTAAATGTATTTTAAGAGCTTTTACATTTTGTTATTGCTTTCTCTTTTGGAGTTAGACGCAAGGCAAAGTAGTCCAGACAACGAAAGTGCCAGAAAAAATATGTATGATAATTCTAAACCAGACCTAATTAAAGAAAATGGCTTCATTTATGACACACCGAGAAAAACCTATGATAATGTAAATTCAGAAAGTGACATCACAAAAGAAAATGACGTCATATATGACACACCGAGAAAAGTGCTACCTGGAATGCTGAACACTCAAGATACTGTCCAATCAGAACTGGATGATATCGCTGAAACTAATTATGCTATAGCGGACACACAGGATATCAGAAATGGTCTCTCTGACCATGAGTTACAGTGTTATTAGAGGAAATAGCTGATCTCTCATGATCTACTCACAGGTATCATTGAAATCGTTATATTTACCCTTCTTGTTTTTGACTTATAAGTGTACATTAAGCACATTAAAAAAATGAACTGCTTTCTCGTGGATAAACAGTTTTGTTTTCAACATTTTATTGACACATTTTTGATCCTTTTTATCGACAATAAGTCAATGGGATTGGACACGTGTACCAAAATCTGAGGTCATCCTCTCCCCCAAAGAGTTTGAATATTAATATGATTGCAGTATTGCCGGACGTGCTTATGGAGATGCCTGGATTTCAACAGAGATTACATTATTTATCATTATTTCCGTAAAAGATATATTTTATTTCATTTTATTTTATTCATACTATTATGCATTTTTACTGACATAAACTCAAGATGTTGTTGTCACTGTCAATGTTTAAAATAATTTATTTATATTATATATATTTGAATATTTATACCCCCGCTCCAAAGGAGAGGGGGGTATACTGTTTTACCCTTGTGTGTCTGTCTGTCTGTCTGTCTGTCTGTATGTCTGTCTGTCTATCCGTAACAAATTTTTCGTCGCAGTTTTCTCAGCAACTACTCATTGCAGGTGCTTGAAATTTTAACACAGTCTTTGTTTAGGCATGCCATATGGTGGGATTTATTTTTGTACGAATTCGTGGTCACTTTCCTGTTTATCCGTGCGTATGTCCATACCATACATAACAAATTTTTCATCACAGTTTTCTCAGCAGCTACTCATCGCAGATGCTTGAAATTTTAACACACTCTTTGTTTAGGCATGCCATATATTGGGATTCATTTTTGTACGAATCTGATGTCAACTTCCTGTTTATCCATGCGTCTGTCCATACCATACACAACAAATTTTCATCACAGTTTTCTCAGCTACTACTCATTGCAGATGCTTTATATTTTAACACAATCTTTCTTTAGGCATGCCATATGGTGGGATTTATTTTTGTATGAATCCGATGTCAACTTCCTGTTTATCCATGCTTATAGTGTATATTCACAATACACATCAGAGCGGGGGTATTACTAGTGAGCATTGGGTCACAGACTTCTTGTTTATATTTCTAGGAAAATTTAATTCTAGGGGTATAAACTATTTTAATAAATATATTTTGCTGAAATTTGAAGAGGGATATGTGTAAAGATATAAAATGTCGAAACTTTTGTTGCCTGTACCATTAAATTTGGCTCTTTTTATCTATCCACTAATTTATAAAGCACAACGTACTTCAAAAATAACCGTGGATGTTGAATGTTCATATTCTTACCAGAGGTAGTATTTCTACTATATATCATTAAGTTGCTCGCAATCATATCACTAATGAATTACATTGTAATATCTTATCATTAATTTACTTATGGCTTCCCGAGTTTACATGTACATTTTTATTTGGGAGTCTAATTCTAAGCACTGTAGATCATCATGTGATTTTTCCCCCTTAGATGAAGTTTTACATGTAATAACTATACATATATATCCTCATTTGTCTCATCACATCATGCATAATACTCTTGTTTTGTTGATGAATTTTGATTATTGTTACTGACACATGCTCAATTACAAATTTGTGCATGAAAACATCATTTACATTCACATTAAGGTCACGTTTCCAATTAATTTTAAGACTTTTATGTTAACAAAATTATTTTCGCAATAAATTTAATTTTTAACTAATTTTTACTTTATTTTTTTTATTTCATCAATAACATCACCATGCAGGAGGGGAAGTGGAGGAAAGAATCCTTATATGCTTATTTTTAAGGGATCGTTTAAAAGTTAATATTTATATTACTCTTACCACATTTTATCTATGGCACATAAAAGACTAAGTTTGATACACACAAAACGGTTTGTCAAGCTCTTTACGTCGAGAGTTACTTAAATCATATAAAATACGACACCTATATTACGCGGTAAAAATATGCATCGCCTACAAGTATATGAAAAATGTGCAGAGAACGAAAAGGGATCGATATCAAAAAAATCTACAAAGGACGGGGCATAATTTAACAGGACACAACCCTGCGGAATTCCGGGGGTGGGGTCAGGTGCCTATGAGGAGTAAACATCTTCTGTTGACAGGTTAGCCTTGCGTATTGATCAAATAGACGGAATATTCTGTAGTCAAAATTAGTAAAAAAAAACAAAAAACAATGGTCTAACAGTTGATATGAAACAAAACATGACCCAATGATAGATTATATTTGCTAACAAGGTCATTATAATGGCCACAGTATTTATGCTGACTTTAAACTAGGTTGTTGAAATCCCTGTGCCACCAACTTATCTGTCAGTAGCATGCCTTGGTTTAAAGATTGATCGTCCATTATTTGACATAGGATGTGCTATATGGCATCTGTTATATGATATCTCAATGAAGCTGTTAAGGAATTTTTACGCACTAGTAGTATATATTAATATATAGAGCTTGTTATTATAAGTTGTTCAATCAAATCTGGATCAGCTATATATTCCAAATAATTGATTGCTAAAATAATGTGTGTAGAAATGGAAATGCGAGGAAATTTGACTGAGTAAAAAAAGACGGTACTTACTATTTGTCTGGAACTGCATCTGTTGTTTAAAAAAGGAACATTTGATGTGCATGCCTCGTTGGGTGTACGGGTTATAGAAAGGTTGATTGATTGATTGTATGTTGTTTTACGTCCCATTAGAGAATTTTTCACTCATATAGAGACGTCACCATATACCGGTGAAGGGCTTCAAATTTTGACCTTTACTCGGCACCAAGGGCCATTGAGCAGTGAGGGATCTTTATCGTGCCAACGTCTGCCGTGACACGGGACCTCGGTTTTTAAGGTCTCATCCGAAGGACCCGCAACTTTCACTTCAAAGTGCCGAGCGCATGGCGAAGGAACAGTTGCTACCCATTTTTATCGACTTAGGTCAGTCGCGGCCGAGATTCAAACTCACGACCTCCCGATCACGGAGGGTTATAGAAAGAGACACAAGTGTAGGGCCGTAAAAACAAAGTATCGGTGCTCCATATTCCACAAAGTCGACCAACATTCAATCCCTGACTACTCTTTCGGCATAGTACATCCAAATTATAATACTATTATATTTTACAATCACATTCAATCGAAAATTACAATATAAACTCTTATGTGTAGAAATGATAAAGAATTCATTTAAGGAATGTTTTTAAGTTTTGTGTGAGTTGTTGGTACGTA